ATAGTCTGAGCAGCCCGTAGCCGACGAAGCAGATGAGGACAATACCTGGGGCAACGTGCATGGTGAACGTTGTGAAAGTGATACCCTGCAGACAATGGTGAACATGGTAAAAGTGACACTTTGCGGATTTCATGGTGAATAATAATACAGTGAAAGTGATACCCTGCAGACAGTGATGAACATGTTAAATGTGACACTCTGCGGATGTCATGGTGGATATGGTGAAAGTGACACACTGCAGATAACACGGTGAACATCATGAAAGTGATACCATACAGATTATGATAATATGTGAAAGTAATGAACTTGGAGAACGTAAAATCCTAAAGAATCATGTTATTAGATATGTCGAAAGTGATACCCTGCAGATGACACGGAGAACGTGGTAAACGTGTTAGCCTGCAGACATTGGTGAACGTGGTAAAAATTATACCCTGCACATATTGATAATGGAGAACATAATGAACTAGGAGAATGTAAAATCCTATGAAGCACATTGTATATGGTGAAAGTGATACTCTGCAGACGAGTTTATAGTGAACGAGGTAAAAGTGATACCTGCAGATAATAATGATAATTATAAGGTGGAATAATGAACTTGGAGAATGTACAATTCAATGAATTTTAATAAATGTGGTGAAAACGGTAACATGGTACTCTGCAGACATACTTTTTAAATTATAGATATTTTTAGATGCAAAGACAACGACTATTAATTGGAATCCTATTCAGCATAATGTCTATCTCACCTGACTGCCCAGCGCTCCTACAATGATCACATTGGGGGGATCACCAATGGCGGTGGCCGTACCACCGATGTTAGAGAAAAGGACTTCAGCGATCAAAATGCGACGTGGTTCCAGGTTCAAAACCTCGCACAATCTGATGTAAGAAATAAAAGATAAAAAAAATGAATGTAACAAAAAAGTACACCCAAAAAACCCAACAACAACCAAACAAACAACAACACACAACAAAAAGCAACCAACCAAACAAACAAACAAACAAATAAACAGGGAGCACAACAAGAAACAAATTGGAACGTGATTTAAACCACTCACCTCCCTAACGAAAAGGATAGCAAAACAACTCAAGAAACAATAGCAGTGACTTACTTACAAAAACGATTTGACCATAAATAACATTAATATATGGTCGCTTTTAAGGACAAGCGGGCTATCCCGAAAAATGCAGTTTTGAGAAAATCGAAGGTAAAGTTTCTGAACCCTTTTTCAGTTTCTTTAAAAGACAAGAAGAGTTTTCTCTATAACTAAACAATTATACTCACCAATGAAACCTAACTTCTCCTATAGGTTGGGCAATGCCCATTTTTTGTTTTGGTCAAGATTTCTAGAAACCCCCGAAATCTGGGTTAGCCTGCTTGTCCTTAAAAACGATCATATACAGTTGAGCAAAGACATTACTCAGTCCTTAATTCATGGTTTAAAATAATTCTTCAAATAAAAAATAATCATCTTTCTACACTGGATTAAACTGGTGTCTTTTGAGAAGTGTGCTACACACAGAAGACTTGAGCATGATTCTCGAGTAGGAAAGGTTTTTTTTTCTTCTAATTGACTATCTTCGTCTGAGATCCAAGATGCCTTAGTTGGCTTTTACAGGCAGGCTGAAAAACCCTATCACTTGAACTATCTATATTGTGTTAATGAAAAGTCAAACGTGACACATTTACAGTCAATCTGACCTGATGGTGACCGGTGCCATGAGCAGTATGGTGGTCACGTTGTCCAGAAAGGCGGACACTACAGCGCTGAACACACACAGCAGAGTGACCAGGGGCCAGATTTTGCCTTTGGCCAGTTTGTATGCCTGGAAAAAAGGGTTGGGGTGGAGGAGGGGGCAGTAAGAGAAAAGTCTTGAGGTGAGGGGTTTCTCGAAGGGAAAACCACAAAAAGGGCCCCTGATTAAGAGAGCAAGTTTCATCGGTAAAACAAACATGTTTAAATAGGGGTTACCGATTCGCGTTTTCTTACACTTGCGTTATTTTCCCTTTCCTTCTTCTCTAAATGGACATCACAGTCTCTAGTGCGAAGGCTGCTATTCGCGGCAGGTCCTTTCCAGTCAGGCTCCCTTAAGGTTCTGGGTCTCCCTATCTAAGGCTGTCCCAATATTTTCTTCTAAATACCGTGAGCAATGGGCTGGCTTGTAATACGGTGATTTTCTGCTTGTATGGCGGTTCCGTACTGACTAAACTTGCATTTATTCTAAGAATTTGCCTGTTCTATTTCTGCATATTACCCAGCAAACAATCAAGTAACAACTCTAAGTTTAATAAGACTCGAAAGGATTAAGTGGGATAGATGATTAGGGAGTAGAATGTGATTACTGTATCTATATATATCTCCTCAATAATTATTTACAAAAAACCATCTCACATCATCACCCACCATCACATCTAAAATCATTACTGCTCTCAGATCCTTGACATAAATGTATATTCCTTCAACATCTATCTGTAACAGTTACATGTTATAAACATTTTGCATTTTATACTTTTGGACCCTATCATACACACTTTTTTCAGATGTCAATCTCATAGAAATGGGTAAGGGACAGTTCCCACAGCCCCCCCCCAA